TGCAAACCAGCGAGCCTTCATCCCGTTCCTCTTCTCTCTCAGAACTGTGTGCTCTTTCAGCTTTTCTTTTTGATAAAGAACTCAAGATTATCTCTTGAGCCATTGCCATAGAGAGTTTTGAAGTAGAAATCACCCCGAATGGGAAACCCTAGTAAAGAAAAGGGTTAATAAGTCCCAAGTAAGTATAAAAGCAAGGAAGAAATTAGAAGAGAAAGATACCACGAGTCTTCACTTTCCATCCAAACCTGTTAGAAAGGTATTTCCGGGACCTTACTTCCATAGAATCAACGGTTAACAATTTTTTGTCCAAGCACGGATATCTGGGACTTCCTCAACAGCTTCTATGGCTGCTGAAATAGAAAAATAAAACAATCATGAGTTCTCAAGTTCTTCACAAAACAAAGAAGAGAAATAATAAATGTGAAAAGAAACTTACGTGCAAAGTTCCACTTTTCTGGGAAAGGCATGTTCTTTTCTCCCACTAACCCAGTTGTGGGAGCAACAATGAATCAGGTATACCAACCACGATCCTTGTCATCTTCAGGGCTCACTAAAACCCTCTTACTCCTAGCCACAAGAGTAAACACCCCAGAACGAAATAACTTGGGGGAATAAAGATGAATCAGATGATAAAAGCTGAAGGGTAAAACAGCCAAGTTTGACAAGTATTTAAGGCATGCCACGACCCTCCATACAATAGGACCAATCTGTCCTAAACAAACATTGAAGAAATGACAAAACTCTATGATGACTGGGTCAATAGGAGGTCTAAAACCCAACGTAAAGGGATATGTATACACAAAAGAATAGCCAGCTTTGAACGAGGTGATTCTTTGATTTGCATTAGGAATTAAAATTGGGAAATCAAATTTCCAATGGCAGTCTCTCCGCACAAGGGAAATCAAACCCTCAGTAATCTAAGAGGGGTAAACATCAGCACGATCGTGAGAAGTCATGGAAGTAACTTGATTTCTAATCGATTCTCTATCAGTAAAGAAGGAAAGTTCAGCAGGAATAATCTCATCTACAGTAGGTTCACGAAGTGGTTCACTAGAATCCCTACTCCAAGCAGAAGATCTATGTGAAGAAGAAGCCCTAGTTCTAGAAGACGACGGGGTAATGGTACTAAGTTGAGAAGAAGAACCACGGATAGAAACAGACCCTAAACTGCATAGACTACTACCTCTTCTACTTTTGGTAGGAGCAGATAAAGGGGGAAGTTTATCCACTATAACAACTTTATGAGGATCAGGATTTGAAAAAGACATAGTTATATGAGAAAATAATATGAGATGAAGAATGAGAACTACTATGAACAAAGAACAGCGAGGAATTGTTTTTGCAGAAGATGTACTTATATGAAGGAGTAACCGTCATAAGAAGTGAGTCATGATGGGAACGTCATAATAAAACAGTTGCTTCATGACTAATGCAGCCGCAAAAAAGCCCTAGAAATCGCTGGAGAGTTGCAGGACCAATTAACGAAGGCCACGTGGCATATGCAATAAATGGAAATGACATATGACGCTACGGTTCTGAAGGAAACATAATGGTACATGGGAAACGGCGGCAAAAGTTCCCGCCATAAATACATACCACTTCCCGAATATTCAATTGCAGAATATTTGGCAAGTGGGGGGACTATCTGTATTGGTAAAAATAAATATTACACGTGGATTTATAAGAGTGGCTAATATGTCGAGACACATGGATCAGTAAGAAAGTAACAGCTAGAAAGATGCATTAAAAGAGGCACGAGTCGTAACAAATACGAGCAAATCACTCACGAGAAGGGAAGGCATGAATGCTCAAGTTTAAATGGTTACATGAAGAGGTACCAGCGGAATGAATCAAGACAGTAAAGAAGAAAGATTCATGTATCATTAATTAATGAGCATGAATGACCTCAAACGTTACAGAATCTTCATGAACAGTTACGATTACCAATTATAACGTCTCATTAATATCATTAATACTCTTAATGATTCGGTCATAAAAGGAGAAAGACGTACTTATAAACTCCTATATAAGAGAAAGAGATATTATTTGTATAGACACGTTCTGATTATTATTGGATTACAATTACTTTCTTTTGCTTACTATTGGTTATCTTTGCTATCTCATATTCGAATTTCCTTTCTTGATACTAAGTAAATATAGAATTTCTTGATTATCAGTAGCCTGAGTATTTCTTAAAATAAGCTTTGACCGAATTACATAATTTTTGGTTAGATAGGGTTTAGGGAGGATAGTGTGTTACCTCTACCTTGTGGAAATAGAGAGACTGTTTCCAATAAAACCTATGTGAGGAAAGCATAAGCACCACATTAATAAAAATAAAAATAAAAAGGGACAACACCGAGAAGTCTTGTAAAAACAGCATAAATAACAACAAGATAGTAAGATGATCGAAATAAAATAAATGATAGGTAGTCATAAAAACCTATTACCAACAACTACACCATGTCTTTCGATTTCTTATTCTTTGATAGGTTATGAGAAAATTAGATTGTCAGTGTTTGGACTTTATCCTACTTGTTATTCGCAACATTTAACTGTGTCAGGGTCCTCCAATTAATGTTTGAGGAAAAAACAGAGGAAAAGAAATCCGTAATGGCTATTCTTTAGCTTCCATACGTTGATATAATGTAACAATAACTTGCAAAAACGATTTCCCCCTAATTTGTTGGTCTTATTAATCATATCGATATATTTTTCTCTACCAGTGTTTTAAAAGGTTTTTTTAGGACTCGCCTCGGAACTTGCTCCGGAGCTGGACGATATTAAAATGCCTTGAGACTCATGTGTGGGGCTTAGTTCTGTGAGGCTTACGCTCCCAAACGTCCGACTGTGCGCCCTAAACACACCTAATGCTCAATGCTCGGGACTCGCCCAATAGTTCCTATGCAAATCATGTGTTGAATTCATTAATTTGCACTGTTGACTCTTTAAATTCTTCAACAAATGAATGATTAAAGTTCTTTTTATCTATAGGAATATAAAAATTGTGAATAACTCAAATAACGAACCATAATATTGCATATTTACTAACTGAAAATATTGTGATGGTGAAGATCATTTGAATATTTCTTCTAAAAATAGATGACCAAAATTTATGTCCTTACTTGATAGATCTTCATGTCTTAGTTCTATGTCTCTCAAAATTATCATACATTTCTTATTTTACTATTTAAAAATAATTTATTTTTACTCATGAAGGAGTAATATTTTAAATTACAGTGTTGATAAAATTTATTTAGTATTTACTTTTAAAGAGGTAAAATATGGAGTTTGGTAATATTTTTTAAGAAATTATAATTTTTAATTGTTTGAATGTTAAGAGGTTATAGTTAATTTATATTTCACAGTAACTTTAATAATATTGTATTCTTTATACTTGTAAAATATGCTAAATATTTTATTTTATATGAGTTTCTTTAATTGTTTTTAGTCTTTTGAACTTTTAATGTATCTTTTATATTTTTTTTGTGTTACAATGCTATATTATTAATTCATAAATTAAAAAAAAAACTAAAGATCCGTGGGGCTTACGATCTGTGTTTCGAGACTTTTGCCTCATCCCGTATTAAGTAAAAAGCCCCGCATGACGCCCCTACCTTTTAAAACACTGATCTCTACCATTGGGTTTAATTCTGCTTTTTGAGATTTCAAAATACGAAGATTAGATTAAATTGGTACACATAAAATTCTAACTTCTACTGTCAAGCGAATTCCGAACCCACTCTGTAGAAGAGTTGTTCGCTGAAGACACAAATAGCGCCAATATTGTAACTTGTAAGCAAATTGAGAATAGCTAGTATAGCATCGCTAGAAGATAAAATCTTTGATAGGAAAGAAATTTCACAAATTGTGACAATCTTTTTGTAATGTTGCAGTAGATATCAAAATTTTAATGGATCAAATTTAGGTTAAATCATAAATTCAAGATACTACACTAAGAGTCAATTAGAATTACTTGGAGGCTACTTTTTGAAATTAGTACAGCATGATCCTTTGGGAATAGTCTTTGCGAAATATCCTTATTTTTTACGGTCTTAAAAAATGTCCTCTTTTTTACTTGAACATCATAGTTCTTTAATTTTTAAAAGGTTGAAATTTTTGTTTGGTAGTGAAAATTAAAAGTTAATGAACAATCGATTATTATTAAAATCGTTTGAATCTTGATAATTTGTACGTAAATTTGTTGCAAGGTTGTATCATCCTTATCAAACAGTGAAACACCAATATTAAAGATTTCTCTACATCATAGCTCCATCCACCAACCAGAAAGAAAGAAATGCAAAAACGCAAAATATGTTAGTACGACAAATTCGTGAAATTGGAAAGTCAACATGTTGTTACTCCTCGTTATTGATTTTACTGTTTCTTAAATCAAAATAATAACACAAAACATTAGCTGATTTAGATTAAAATAATAAGAACATCAAATTCCCACTTATACAAAACCAAGGGGCTCCAGAAGTTAATGAATCACAAATTTCTACGCCATGAATGTGTTTGGACCAAAAAATAAGATGTCATGCGGAAGCTAGTAAAGCAAATCTTAAACAACGATAAATAAAATAACAAAAGAGAAATATACTAAAAGAGACACAAATATTTAATGTGGTTCGGTCAATTGACCTACGTCTACGGCAGAGATGAGCAATCCACTATATAAAAAGAGAGTACAAAATATCGAGAGAACAACCTCACGAAAAGACAAACACAAGTGACACACTAACACTTGTCCTGTAAAGTTCTCCCCCTAAACACGACTCTCAAACCCCATATGGCTACATTGTGGATGCTACTGAATGAGAAGGACGGATCTTCAATTTAAAAGAACTCCAAACTTTTACTACAAGAAAATGGACTAGCTAAATATGGAAAAATTATATTTTCCTTTTAAGAAAAAGAAAAACCCTTTATGATAAATATGTTGTCCTTTCCTTAGGAAAACCAATTATGGTAAGAAAATCTGGCAAAACAGAATGTTCTAGGATAATTTACTTAACGATTCCGCAAATAAGAGGAAAAAATAATAACATTGCAACCAAATGTCCAATCTGCCCCTAGTACATCATCAGAATAAGTCATGAGCAAATTTATTCAAAACATCCGTAAGTTGAATTACAAAGGCAGCATCCTGGTGGATCTTCAATTATCTCCAATACATCTGTATTTGTGAGAAAGTAGTTTCTCAACTTCGGTAGTTCCATACATGTAAAGTGTTGCAAGTTGACTTTATTTAACTCATGCCTCCAACATTTCCAAGGTACATATGCACAACAAGGTTTCTCAGCTTCATCAGTTGTATCTCTGTATGTAAACTACAAAACCAGGAAAACTAGTCACAATCAAACTATGCACAACAGGAACAAAAGTAATAAATGTCTCCATTAACAACTTTGTAAGGGGCTACACAGAATTTTTTAACCTAGCTAATCTTTATAACGAAAGGGAGCCTTGGCGTAACTGGTAAAGTTGCTGCCATGTGACCACGAGGTCACGGGTTCAAGCCGTGAAAACAACCTTTTGCAGAAATGCAGGATAAGACTGCGTACAATAGACCCTTGTAGTCCGACCTTTTCCCGAATCCCGTACATAACGGGACCTTAGTGCACCGGGTTACCCTCCCTTTTGCTAAGCTTTATAATATGCTCAATGACTAATTTGTAGGTGACTGCAGTTTTGCATGTTGGTTGACTAACTTTTAGGTTTTGGCTAATCTGCTCATAAGTGGACTGTTAGGTAAACTAAAGATTTTAAACCAAGTATGCAGGCTTTTCAACTAAAATGAAGAATCAAAAGGCAAGTAAGAAAAGGAACTAATTGCAAGGAAACATACATGAAGAGTAAAGGTTCAATAAACCTTAGAGTGACCTCTAATCTTTTCGTACATTAGTGTTATCGATGGCGAAAAGTGCAAAAAATCTCTAAGGCATGTTGGGGCTTTAAAGCACAAATAAAGTGTGGGCTTTAATAAAGAAAGACACAATTGGAGAAAAAGCTACAAATATGTGTGCGTAGTCCAAGACTAGTATCTATAAGTATGGATACCAAATATATAGACCAAGAAATTGAAGAAAAATTACAATAAAGTGAAATACCAATTGTTTAGTATCGCTTCTTCCTAATTACGTTCATTAGCAAGGAAAACTATGCCTTAGAGCGTTGATGACGACACTGAAACGCCCACTAAACGAGGCAAAGCGCTCAACATGTTTTGAGCCTCGTTTCAGGACTTAAGCGTGCCTTTGATAACACAGTCACGCATATATACTACAAAGTTAGTGCCTTTAAAAGATAAACATATTACCTTCAGGGTCCTATAGTCTATAATCTGGCCAAAAGATAGGGTGCCCAGTTGAGGAGAAACCCAAAACAAACTCTCAAGAACGTGTACCATAGCTGAATGACTCAATAGATTATTAATTTTTACGTGCAAACGAGTACCATAAAGCAGAGGAAGCAAGTTTTCTCTCATGCGTTTTGGTATAACTATCACCTGCACAAGCAAAAAGAAGAATTATGAGAAATCCAGAACTGCTTTTTCTTTTTTTGGGGGGAAGCGGGGATAAGAAATCCATAACAGCTTCCAGAGGCGGAGGTAGAGTGTTGGGTATGGGTTCAGCTGAATCCAATAGTTTTTGCTTAGATCCAGAATTTTTATTAGGAAATCCATTAAATAAGTATAAATATCTAATTGCGGGCCAATAACTAAGATGAGATGTGGGTTTGGTGGCCAGTTTAGAACCCAGGCATAAACTTCAAATTCTGACTCTGCCTCTGCTTCCGGCAAGGGAAAATAGACAATTTGTTGTACGTACCTTGTGATCATCACAGCTTAGTGCAATAGCCTTGACATTATTAAAGTTCCCGAGACACTTAGTGAGCGTAGAGTACCAGCGAGTGTCAATGGGGGTTTATAAGATGAATTTAAGATTAACTTCCGACAGATGTGAAGCTTTCAATTTGAATGTAGGCAACAGATCAATACCCCCTTGGAATACTTTTCTGCAATAACGAAAATCAGATGAGAATACCAATAAGTTAGGAGTATCCAAATCAACCGCAATCAGGTTATTGCACCTGACCACTTTGAAATACTTGAGCCGGTCACTTGAGATTTTCAAAGACTTCAACGACGAACAAGAAGATAAGTAAAACAATTCAAGGTTGGGTAGATTTGGTAAAAGGTTCTCTAACCATTGGTCAGTCACAGCCACAGAAGAGAGGTTCAAATTCTTTAATGATGATTTACAAGCAGTTATCTTAATTACATTCAGTTCCTCAATAATGGAGCTAATGTGAAGGTATTTAAGATCAGGTGCTGTAATATCAACCCTCTGGAGTAGTTCAGGGCAATTTACCAAATTTACTATCCTTAGTTTAGGTAAAGTTCCAGCAATTTGGAAACAGACTAGTCCGCCGAATTCCCTGAAAGACAAAACTTCTAAATGACTACAACTTGCGCATAAAGCATCAAGTACTTGGTCGTCCAAAAATGATTTAATAAGATGTAACTCTCGCAAAGATGAAAACTTTATGCCATCCGAGGGTAATTCGAGCTTAAATCCACCCAAACAAAGCATATTTAGAGCTTTGGCAGCAAAGATTGCTTCAGGCAACTTGTTAGTGGATGTGAAAACCTCTAAATGCAACTCTTTGATATTACCGGCTACCAGTATTTTAATCCAATTATCCACATACTTTAACCGATTATCTGGTAACTTTGCCTTGAACCTTTGTATAGAGATGTTCTGCTTTTGCCGATTTGCTAGAATTTGATCCAGAACGTTTTTTGACTCCATGAAAACAATATCACCAAAATTTAAGCACGACAAGGAACTCCAAGCACTGTTCCATGTCTTGGACAAAACACTAGTTTTCGCAGCATCTTTAACAATGAGGAAAGACAGGATGTGCTGCAAAATTGGCATCGGCAGTTTGGAAAATTGATCTAAGCCATCCATCACTGCCAAAATATTTTCTATAAGGAGGTGCCTGCCACAGAATAAATAAAGAAGAACATACTTATACGAGTAAAACTCATCCTAAGCCAATTGGAGAAAGGATTCACAAAGTAAAAGGAAAGAGAGCGATTCTAGTCCAAAACCAAGTTGTTATCGGATTTAGGAAGTGTAAAAACCAAATCCCACAAGAAAAAGGAAAAACAAAAGCAAGAGGAAAAAAGACGATGTCCCTGGTGTGCGTGTGCGTGTGAGAGAGAGAGGAAAGAAAAGTCAATTACCGGATAGATCTTCTTCTGAACGGATCCACAAGTCTCTCCTTCCACCGGATAAACTACTCTATGCTCCTAGGCTGCACTTGTGTAATCTTTTTATTTTTTCGGCTAAACTACACACAGGAAAAGGGTAATGGAAAACAATCAAAATCCAACACAAACATATTTTATATCGGAATTCTATTTATACTACACATTAATTTTGCGCGTGTATCATATATCATTGCATACAAAACTTTAAGATTAAACATTATGAAATATTCTTTATAAACTAATTACAAAGCTTACAGATAAAAGTACAAGCGCCTAAAAAATGAAGAAATATTGTCCTATGACAGTGCTCACCCGATGAAAGGCATAGTAGGTAAAAAAGTTAGGAATTTTTACGTCCTATAACAAAGGTTAATACCTTATTTATTTTAAACAAATACCATTTAAAAAATTATATTCTATAGATATAGCAAAATATTTAATTTTGGTTACCTCCTAGCCCTAAGCCACTAAATACGTTAATCAGTTACACTATTTTCTTTCTCTCTCTACTTTGATACATCCCATTCTCTTCTCACATCCCATTAAAATTAAAATCAGCTATCACCAGCGTATCAAAACTTCTGCCGCCGTTCTTGACTCTTGATTATCTAACGAGTGCCATTTACGAGAAAGAGAATCCACGACACTATATATCAAAGCTATCAAACATGGAATTCACCACATCAATTCCGACATTATTTTCCTTCCCCAACATGAGATGTCCAATAGTTTCCTCCTTTGTCCTTCTTAATAAATATTTACGCAGAATTGATACTAAGTGTTGTTTTCGCTCATCAGTAACTCGAACAAATCTATCCGGAGCACTTGATCGCTGACCATGTTTAAGGGGCTCATCGTAAAATTCTCGGAAGTGTTCACGTGTCCCCAAGCAACCGGGTTTCACCCAGTCGAATAGATTGAACAATTCCATTATTATATTTCAATGTAATTTCAACGTATTACGATGTATTCATGATTTTCATTGTATTCATTATCTTTTTTTCATTGTAATTCAATGTATCTCGTTTTATTCCATGTATTTTATTGTATTCTCTGTCTTTTTATTGTATTTCAATGTATCCCGTTGTATTCTATGTATTTCATCGTATTCACTATCCCGCTGTATGCCATGAATGTATTCATAAGTTCTTTTTAATTAATATAATTTATGTATTCACATGTATTATATAATTTCTCCGAAGATTGCTATGTTTTTGGGGTATTTTTTTGTTGAGAATCTTTTTTATAACTGAAAATACAAATTTTGTGTGTTATAATTGAGTTTGTTGAGTTATATTAGGAGTCTATTATGTTAATTGATTCACTTTCCGTTTTAAAAACAGTGTAATCCCCTGTTTCACGCCGTGAATACAGTCGAATACAATAATCTGTCGAGCTGTAATCTCATGTATCACTCCATGAATACAGTCGAATACAACAACTGATTAGCTGAACTTCCCTGATTCACGCCTATTTTTGCTACTGTATTCATGAATACAATAGCTTAAATACATTAAAAACATCTTATAACCACATAAAATGTATCTACAATCCGTAATATAGCAAATGATATCTATAGATGACTAATTACTACTAAAAGATAGTGCTTTATAAAAATTTCTCAAAAAGTTATTGGTTGCTTTACTTCCTTACCTCGGGTAAGTTGAAAAAGTTGTTATTATTGGATCCATAGAAACTGAATTACAATGAATTTTAATTTGCTAGGTAAATTCTCTAGGTTTTTACTACTTAACATAACGTGCTTTTGAAATTATGAGTAAATAGACAAAGAAAATTTAGGCCCATTTGGACATAAGAATTTTTTTACTTTTTTCGAAAACTTTTCACTTTTTTTCAAAATTAGTGTTTGACCATAAAATTTTCAATTTTCACTTGAAAATGAATTTTGGTATTTTTCGAAATTTTGAAAAAATTCAAAAACTACCCAAAATTATATTCATGTCCGAACACAACTCTAAATTTCCAATACCATTTTCAGTTGAAAAAAAAATTCACCTTTTTTTTTTTGAATTTTATAATTCTTATGTCCAAACGCCCACTTATATAAGGTAAAATTATGTATAGTTCAAATAGACAAAGAAAAAATTATTAATAAAAGAAAGACCCATAATCCACAAATAAGTCCAAAAGGCTCATTTTTCACCTAATAAATTTTATAAAAAATTAGTCCTAATAAGTTAGTACCGAAACTTTTCTAACTTTCCCACGTCAAAACTTTATTAACTAAAGAAAAATTAAAACTTATAGGCAGAATTTTATTAACTAAGAAAGCCTCCTCGGAAACCTAAAAAAAGAAATTTGGTACTCCTAAATATAAATGGAGTTGAATGAAAAACTTTCCTACTTTAGAAATATTAGGAGAACAATTAAATGACTATCCTAGATAGTAGGAAATTAATTGAATGGCTATTCCTAAATATTAAGGAAATAACAAACTTTCCTAATTTAAAAATATTAGAAGAATAATTAAATGATCATTTCTAAATTGTAGGAGATTAAATAAATGACTATTTGTAAATATTAAGAAAATAATAAAATGACAAATTTCTCTAATGTGAACTCAATTTTTAAAGAATAAAAAAGTCAAACGACATTTCGCTAAGGACTTTCGTGAGTTTAATATAATATAGATATAAATATAGATATTTGTTGCACGTGTGTACAAACTACAAAAGGAATAATATTGTTACGCATGACCCCATATTAATGAGTGCGCAACCTTTATAAAAACTATGTAAAAACAACGTATAAAATTATATAAATGAGTTATAAAATATAAAAACTATTAAATAATATGTTTGAGTGAGGTCTCGTAAAAATAATAAATTCAGATCTGATCTAGCTAGGGCGCTCTCTCTATATATATATATAGAGATAAAAAACTTATATTAAAGGTATGAAGCCTATTGATAAAATATTATTTACCTTTTTTACCCTTTAAAAATAGATTCACACGGGACAAAATTATAATTTAAGTTACTTTGATAGTATTTAGAATATCCAAATCAAATAAAATTTTAGTTATTCCTTATTTGAACTATGTAAAGAATTTAATACTTAGAACTTTAAATGAGTATTTTTACCCTTAAAATCGGATAACAATTGAATTTATACTCGGTTCTAAGGATATGTGAATTAATTTAATATAAATTATCAATAATGTTAGATAAGCAAATTAAAAATAGGATAGATAGTCAAACCAGTAATAATATTGAGTTCGGGCTCGGTTGTGAACTTACAATAGTCTGCCTTCGATTTGGAGCCAAAAACATGTGAAAGACTATGAAAAAATAAGAACCTTTAGGATGGCTCAAAAACAGAGAAAACAAGATTATATTGCTTTGATATTCGTGTTATAGTATCTATATTGAATAATAAACTTCCCCTTTATAAAGTAGGGGTTTTTACCTTAAGTACATTTCTAAAAAAGACAAAATCTTCCTTTTTGCTAATCACTGATCTGCTACCGATATAGGCCGGGATCCGTGCCGTGATATCGGGTTGAGCGCGGATATCACGACCCTTCGTTAGTCATGGTCAACCGTTGGGTAATGCTCTCCGAGGTCTTGGAGCTCGAATTGGATTCAGGGGGGGTTGTCGTCTAGATGGCTTCGGTAGTAAACGTCTCGCTCAGGCCCTAGTACGAGGGGTTCTTAGCTCCGATTCCATGTAGTTAAGTCCTTGCTTCGTTTGCCCTTTTGAAAAATTGGGGTGCTCATTAGCCCCGATTTTACCCGTATATAGATAGTCCCATCGTTTCTCAAAGAGTACGAAACGATGAGAAACAATAGATGTTCCCCGGTTTCTTCCTTTGTACGCTACGACCCAAATAAAGAAACCAAAATGTCCCATCAGTCATGTCGTTCTGACTCGGACACGTGTCGACCATCAAACGGTTTCCTCCGAATGTGAAGCGTCACATACCTCCCCTATAAAAGCTCCCACACTCTACTCTTTTTCTACTTTTGGATCAAGCTTCTACCGTCGAATCTTCTAGTTATTACCAACTCTTTCAAATCTTCATATTTTCACCTTTGATCTTCAAATTTATGCTATTGTTTTTAAGTTCTTTCCTAGATCTTCATCTTTCCTTCAAGTCTTCATACTCCTCTTTTCAACCTTTAAACTTGTTCCTTCAAATTCCATACTTTCTCAGATAGTAATGGCTAAGACTTCAAAGTCAGTTCCTCAGCAGTCTGCCTCTTCATCTTCCCAACCAGTCATCGGTACCGAGGTGGTCGCTCCTGAAATAGTTGTCTGCGAGATGGCTGCCACCGAGTCGGCTGCTATCGAATCGGCCCCCGAGCCCCCCTTGAAAAGATTTATTCCCGGGGAATGTTCAATTGCGGATGGCTTTAAGGCCGAGAAGGCCTCGTCCAAACAAGATCGAGGTGAATAGACATCAAATATATATATGCTCAGTCACCGAAGATACACTACAAAAAATAGTCAAATTGCGGTAGTTATTTTTAGAAATTGCAGCAGTCGGTAACTCCCGCAATTTGTTGTTGCAGCGGTTCACAAAACTCCCGCAAGAAGGCTCACCGCAATCAATTTACAGTAGTTCTGCCACGACTGCCGTAATTAATTAGTGGGAGTTAATTTGCGGCAGTTCAACCCCCGTAAATTGATTATTAAATTATTAAAAAAATTATATTTTTTACAATTTCCGGCTGTTTGAACCTATGCAACATAGGGAATCATTATTTAGCAATACAAAAATTTTGGCGGTCAAAACCCATGCTGTGATGACCCAGCCAATTGGGTCATGAGTTACCGCTCCATTTCTCCCATTTCTGCTTCTTTATGTCTTGTTATCCATGTTTTATGGTATCGGGTTGGTCGAATCGAATCCAGAAGCACACATTGTATAAAAGAGGAAGGGCTGAAAATAGAGAGGGGTACAAGACAAAAAGGCTGATCTGAACGCCTTTTTCTTCAACCAAATCAGACCCATCCACGGTTCTGCATTTTCTTCAACCAAACGGACCCTACCCCTGTATTTGATCTTCTTCGTTCCCTTCCCCAAAAACAAAAAGGCTGGAGAACGGAAAAATAGAGAACCACCCCTTCCCCCCTTATGTTCTTCACCTTCTTCAACAAAATCACACAGCAGTCATTTCTCAACAAAGGGATCCCCACGCCGTCCATCTCCTAGAGCAAAATA